GAAATCATCAAGTCGAAGGTATACCTGTTCCCCAATGTTCATCACAGCACTCTTTACAATATCCAAGAGTTGGAACCAGCCCAAATGTCCACCATCAGATGAGTGGATAATGAAACTGTGGTATATCTACGCAATGGAATACTACTCAGCTATAAAAACGAATGAAATACTGCCATTTGCAACAACATGGATGGACCTAGAGAGAATTATATTAAGTGAAACAAGTCAGGCACAGAAAGAGAATTATCACATGTTCTCACTTATTTGTGGCAGCTAAAAATAAATAAATAAATACACAAAAAAACTGGGCGGGGGGAGACACAACAATTACAATTCCTTGAAGTTGACACGACAAGCAAACAGAAAGGACATCGTTGGAAGAGGCGGGGAGAGGAAGGAGGGAGGGAGGTTTCGGTAATTGGCCACAATAGTCAACCACATTGTATATTGACAAAATAAAATAAAATTTGGAAGAAATAAAATAAAAAATTGATAGAATTCAGCTGTAAAAAGAAAAAAAAAAAAAGGCAGAGGAGCTGAATAGACAAAAATAAATAAATAAATAAAAAGTTAAGATCATGGGTAGTGCCCGGGATCTGAGAACATATCTGGATGTCATAGGATACAGAGTTTATGAACATTGACAGAATTTTATGAGTACCTCCTGAAATCTCATAAAGTGCCAGCTTAACCCGCACGCTTCAGAGATACAGTTTCCACACTCAAGACGTCCTCAGTTGAGTCTTAGGCTGCCCTGTTGCTCTTAGGGAAGTGCAGGTACATTGGAGAATCTTCAAGAATCAGGGCACTGTGGACCACCCTGGTCACTTGCCTCTCTTACATGTTAGATTATTCTTCTCCCCAGAAAGAGAGGCTCTTTTCTCTTTAATTATATTTAATTAAATGGAAACCTTGATCACATGAAAGGGCTGGCTCCTTTGTCACCCTTTCGCTTAGTCGGGTGTTTTATACAGATTAAGAAAGTCTATTGTTGGGTCACCTAAAAGTCACCCAGAAGATGTTGAGATAAGTACTGCTAAAACAGGTTCAATTTTATGTCAAACAGATTGTATTCCTCTTTTTTACAAATTTCAAGTTTTACATGATAGCTTAGCTTCAAATTTGCTTGCTTGTTTTAATTGACTCAAGAAATGCCTGTCTAAAGAAAAGAATAAAACAGAGTAATTTTTCCCTTAACTTCTGGCATAGGGCCCAATTCTACTGAAGAGAGGAATGTCCTTTATCCTGTTCATAAGATCTGTAAATAGTTCCGATTAATATTCTTGGCATGAATACTTTCAGTGGTGGTGTCACATGATTTGACCACTTACTTTGTACAGGTTTTTTTCCCTCCACAAATCAATGGACGTTTTTCTTGGTTGTGCAGTTTAGTCTTGACAGGTTTATTTTCTTGGCATGAATACTTTCAGTGGTGGTGTCACATGATTTGACCACTTACTTTGTACAGGTTTTTCTCCCTCCACAAATCAATGGACGTTTTTCTTGGTTGTGCAGTTTAGTCTTGACAGGTTTATTTTTAGTCTTTCACAGATATGCATATAGGTGAACAGTATTTCTCCATTTCCCGTACACTGCATTATTCCCAGCAGTGTTTAAAGCTGGGCTCGCTCTAGATTTCCAGTGCCAATGTAGTGCCCTTTTGAGAGGATATGGAGAGTGGGACCCTTCGCATGCCGTGAATGAGCTGTTTGCCCTAATTGTCCAGAGCCATGAGTGCTGCGTGAACTCTCTTTGGGAAATGAAGTCATTTCTTCCATTTTGGGATCTGCTTGTTTCAGTCTGTTGTCAGTTCAATAATGGAGAGTGTCTGAGCACATTACGGATTGCTCAGATGAAGTTTTTTTCTATTTTTCTTTTTTTTTGGCAGAGTTGTTCCACATATACGAGAATTGCAGAGTTTAAAAAGTCAGTGCCAGACACTTATGTTCGTGGATTGCTAAGATGACAGTACTTCCCAAATTGATTCAGTGTAATCCCCATCAAAATCCCAGCCGCCTTTTTGCAGAAATTGACAAGCTGATTCTAAAATTCATATGGTAATGCAAGGGACTCAGAATAGCCAAAACAGTCTTGAAAAAGAAGAACTAAGTTGGAAGACTCACTCTTCCTGATTTCAGAGCTTACTACAAAGCTTACTTGAAATAATCAAGACAGTGCAGAACTGGCATAAGGATAGACATACAGGTCATTGAAATAGAATTGAGAGTCCAAAAATAAACCCTTACATTTATGGTCAATTGATTTTCAACAAGGGTGCCAAGACAATGGGGAAGGAATAGACTTTTTAACAAATGGTACTGAGACAACTGGACAGTCACAAGCAAAAGAATGAATTTGGACTCTTACCCCACCCCATAATCAAAAATTAACTCAAAATGGGTCAAGACCTACATGTAAGAACTAAAACCACAACACTCCTAGAAGGGATTTATAGGTATAAATCTTTGTGACCTTGGATTAGGCAATAGTTTCTTATATATCACATCACCCCTAAAGTACAAACAGCAAAAGAAATAGTAGATAAATTGGACTTCATCAAAATTAAAAAATTTTGCTCTTTAAAAATCTTTTTTTCAAACTGTCAAGAATCCAAGTGGCTCACTGTTGCTTTTAGATGAAGTCTAAACTCTGACACCAGCCTACCTGTCTCTTCTCCCACCTGGTCCACTTTATCTGAACTATAGTATTTGTCCCTGCTTCCCCTAGCAGTGGCTACTCCTTCCACTTTGCCCTCCCCATGTTTTTGAACATCCTTCCTACTCTGCCAGCCCTTGCCGTCATCTTTAAAACTCATTTCCAAACTCTCTCTTCCTGTGCTTTTCTCCGTTTGACTCTTTGAGTACTGTTATTCTCACTTCGGATCACATTGATTTTCATGCATTAATTCTTTCATTGTTTGGGCATGTGCTTAGTTTCTGCAAGGATGGTCAGCTGCTTGGTGGCGGTGATGGGACAGGCCCTAGCATCTTAGGAAATCCTCTGGTGAGGCAACACGGTATAAGGAAGGATCATCAGAGTGGGAGGTGGGATTCTGTTCCACTCTCTGCTCTTGCTTTGAGGAGCTCTGCACCTTGAGTAAATCTCTTCATTTCACTGTGTGTCTGTTTCTTCCATTAAGAAATGAACTGGATCAGGGATTTTCAATAAACAGATACAGGTTGGTCCCAGCCTTGCCCGATTGCCTGAACTGTTTGTTCATGTCTTGCTCCCCACCTTGTTTCCTTTAGGTCTACCAGAATTTCCAGTGCTGGCACTGGGCCCCTTGTACTCTCAGCTCAGCACATCTGATATCATTTGTTAAGCACCAGTTGAGCACCTGTTGGATGCTTATAGGCTGGAGTTTCCTGATGGTGGTAGCCTCAGACTCTCTGCCAACCAGGTGGATGGTCTACCCTGTGTGGAAGGCTCCCCTTGGTCAGGAGCAGTTAGGTGAAGTGCTGTGGACCCCCCTACTTGAGATTGATGGGGTGAGGAAGTGAATATTTGTTCAATATCTGTTTTGTACCAGGTATTTACACATGTGATCCTACTCAATCCTTACTATATTTACTGTCCTTACGAGGTATTGTTTTCCTGTTGACAAAGAAGGAAACTGAGGCAGGGAGCTTAAGTACCTTGTCTGTAGTAAGAGGCAGAAACTCGTTTGTGTTGTTTTGCTTGAAAGCCCATGCCCTTTCCAACACATTACATTACCTTCCTTCCTGAGGGCTGCTGTTGCTGTACCAGGAGCCTCTTGCCATTATCAGGAACACCAGGCTCATGATGAAATAAAGCCTTGTAACTTCCAAGTGGTTCATTCTTTCAGCTAGTTTGGGACTAGTACTTGGTTTTGACATTTCTTTTTCCAGCAAGATATATGGCATTTATGAGTTCCTGGATATGAATTTTATGTCCCTCTTTTGCTGTGGTGAGAATGAGAAAGTTCTCTGATTAAAAACAAACAAACAAAAAAACGTTTAAGGCCATAAGTTTCTTTAGTGTACTGCTTTTTTTAAAAAATTGGGACCTGGACAATATTAAAAACAACATCTTGGCCATTTTCCAGGAGTCACAAATTCGCCAGAGTACAGCTTATAGCTTACATCAGCCTCAGGGAAACAAAGAGCACGGAACCGAGCGGAATGGCAACCTCTACAAGAAGAGCGACGGGTAGGCAAAATAGTGCTGCGAGAGTTGAAATGCACGTTCATTATCTCCTGTGTCCAAAATGTCTGAACTCTTATTGTTTTTCCCACTTATCCACAAGGATCCGAAAAGTGTGGCAGAAAAGGAAATGTTCAGTTAAAAATGGTTTTCTGACCATCTCCCATGGTACCGTAAGTACTCTCTTTTAATTCATGGTCTCTGCTATAGTTAGATGAAGTTGGTGTTGGAGGACTTCGTGAAGTTAGAGGACACGAGTTGTTCTCTGTGTGTTATGGTATTAAGGATGCCTTTTAAAGAATTTCCCTGTTAGAAAAGTTTGGGTTAGAAAAGTTCTCAGTTTGTTGCACCTGCACCCTACTTACGCTTTTTCAGCCAGGTGAAGCTTTGTTATCTTTCACTACCTAGCAGAGTCAGGAGTAGCTGGTAAGCCAGCTTATCTTTATTTAGAAGCCTGTGACTTCCAGAAACCACAAAACAGCAAACTGCTCCCCAAGCTACCTTTGTCTCTAGAAATTGAACATCTCACTTGGGAAGATTTCTACTTTTCCATTAAGGAAAAAACATTCAAGTGGTCAGGACTCTGGGAATCAGAAATTCAAGAGAAAAGAGAGATCGGTAATTTTCTTATAGAAATCTGACATTCTGCACCCAGACTTGATCAAGTCCTATTTCTGTCAACCCATTTGTAAGAGCCCATGCAAGAAACGCTGAGCCCTGTATGTTGAGCTTATGAAAAAAACAGTCAGATTAAAATTACTTACCAATCTAGCTTTCAGAAACCAGCAGCTTCAATCACAGTTACAAATGCAGCCCCTCAGGCCACAGTTTTCTTTTCCACAGTGGCATCAGGCATGTTATCTCCTCACCTGGTGTGACTGGAGCTGGTGAAAACCATATAGGCTGGTGGACAGTTTTGGAAATGCCTCAAGGCTGAGCTGGTTGCTGTTTGTTGGTAGTGAGAGTGCAGGTGGGGGTTGCATGTCTGTTACCCATGTGGAGACCTAGCACTGCATGCACACTAGCAGCCTCAGTCCTGGTAGTGGATGGTAGTGACGATAACCCTGAATCTTCGTCTTTGTCTTTCCATCCCCTGGTGAAAGGCAGGACTGGGCAGGAGCACAGATGGGTTTTTCAGGCCCCTATACACAGGTCATTGCTCAAAGAGGACTCGCAAGAAACAGCCCTTCTCAATGAGGAAGTAGAGTAAAACTCCACCTCGAGGATGTCACAGAAGCAAGGACTGTGTTCCACTGAGGTCCCTTCATTTTCACCAAGTCCATTATGGGAAGCTCCCACTTCAGAAACTAGAACTAGCATACACCAAGTGTAGTCTGCTGGGACCTCTTGGTGACCTCTGACCTAGGAGTCTGAATGTGTCTTTTGATTGGGCAAATAAAAGTCATTTCTCTTTTTTCTTTTAATCCAGCTTTCACTGGTTCTATGATCACCACCTCAGTCCTGGGGCCATGCAGTTCGGACCTTAATGTGATGTTCTTTCCATGTAGATATATACATGGTGGAGGGTGGGTATGAGTTCTGTAGACTAAGGGGAGTGACTTTATTTAGCCATCACACATCTTAAAGTTAAGAATGTTAGATTGGATGATGGCTGGTTTCCCTTCTTGATCTAAACACCTGTGATTCTGTGGTTTGCTTTCAAGTTGTTGTGCACTCAGTTATTTGCTTTAACTCAGGTTTATTGCCTCAGTGCAGAAACTATCATAAAATAAGACTAAGTTCTATTTCATGTTCTTACAGCTCTTAAGACATATGGCATATTTGCTTCATTAAGAGCTCCCCTAGACCCAGGCCCTCAGCTTAAGTCAGTGAGTGGCTCTCCCTCCATAGCAGATGAAAACAGGCCTATTGATCCTTTGCTGACAGCGTAAACCTCACTTTGAGTCACTTCCATTGCTTAAGCTTCCTCTCAAAAGACACGGAGGCTTAATTGTCTTTAAATTTTGATGGGTTGCCCCAGTTTTTGGCAGATAGTGCAGTTATCACTAGCTTCACTAGGATGCTAACAGCTCAGCTTGTCATACAACATGCATATTTAATAAGTGCTTTGTGTTTAGAAGGGAAACCCTCCTCAGGGAATCTCCACTGCTGGATGCTTCATTCTGCATTTAGCAGCCAGTGCCTGCTGCAGCCTGCAGGGGTGGCAGGTCTGGCTCTGTCCTGGTCCACCACCCCAGTGCCTTGCAGGAAAACAAGTAGGTTAGTGTTCTAGGCCTCCATTCAGTTGCCGAGTATTCCTTCTCTATTCTTTCCCTATTTGTTGTTCTCCATGTTCTGGAAGTGAGAGTCCTGAACAGTTTGTTTGTGGTGATGTGAATCAACCTATACTGAAAAAGAGAGTTGAGAGATGCCTTTTTTGTTTGGGTTGGTTTGGTTTTGATTTGACTCTTTTATGTAGCTTACCTATTTAGCCAGCATCTCCAGAGTATGCTAGTTTGCCATCAGGAAAAAAGGGCAAATTTTCAGACTTGCCTGAGTAAATGGAAATCTCAGAGCAGTGTCTGGTACACAGCTGAGAATCAGGTCTTTAAGAAGTGGAAGCACATAGGGTGTGTTTACACTATTAGGAAAACCCTTCTCAGGAGGCTGGCAGTCTTCAGGAAATGAAATTGTTTTATTCTGCATTTGAGCAGAGGGATGAGGATAACATCCGGGATGAGTTCAGTGAAAGCCCAAGTTACTATTCCCCGTTAGCCAAGGCTAATTGTGTTTTCTGGCACTGGGAAGAAGTGATCTTTGGGACGAAATAACTCTAATTAGGTATTCTCTTTGACAAATTCACAGCAATTTCACACCAGGGGCTAGGGTCCATGTTACACTGGAAGAAGTATCCACTGACTCTTAAACAATCTAAAATCTTTTAAAATGATTAATCAAACATGCAGAAAGACTATAAACTTCCTTTAAAAGCCTGACAAATTTGGAAAAATTAGAATGGTGTGATTGATTAAAACAGAATCATAATGGGCTGGCCCGGTGGCGCACTCGGTAGAGTGCAGCGCTTGGGAGCGTGGCGGCACTCCCGCCGAGGTTTCGGATCCCATATAGAGACCGGTCTGCTCACTGGTTGAGCGCGGTGCAGGCGCGACACCGACGGTTGCGATCCCATTGCCGGTCACGGTACGGGTGCGACACTGAGGGTTGCGATCCCATTAACGGTCACGAAAAAAGACAAAAGGAAAAAAAAAAACAGAATCATAATAAGCTGTGCCATCACAAATAATGATAGGCAACACTGCACTCCCAAAATATGTATAATCAATTATGATTCAATAAAAACAAAAAATAAAAACCAATAAGACAGGACAGTAATAATAATAATAATAATGATAATCTGTGCCTTCATGGCAAACACTAAGGGTATAGGATCTTTTTTTCTCCTCCTTCCTGAGTTTTCTACCAAATCGGGGCTTCTCAAATTAGGTTCTCAAGGAATACTGGTATCTTGTGAATTACATAAATCTATCCTACAGGGCTGGCCCGTGGCTCACTCGGGAGAGTGTGATGCTGATAACACCAAGGCCCCGGGTTCAGATCCCATATAGGGATGGCTGGTTAACTCACTGGGTGAGCGTGGTGCTGACAACACCAAGTCAAGGGTTAGGATCCCCTTACCGGTCATCTTTTTTAAAAAAAAAAAAAACTATCCTACAGCTAAATTAAATGGTAACACTGTTTTTTCCAGATTGCAGCAGGGAGAGAATTTAATGGATAGAATTTTCTCCCATAAAGTTTTCTTACAGCTTTGCTGTTAGCTAATATCCAATCTGAATGGACAAATAGCAAGCAATTATTAATGTAAAACTTAGAATAGCTGGGCCGGCCCGGTGGCGCACTCGGTAGAGTGCGGCGCTTGGGAGCGTGGCGGCACTCCCACCGAGGGTTCGGATCCCATATAGAGACCGGTCCGCTCACTGGTTGAGCACGGTGCAGGCGCGACACCGAGGGTTGCAATCCCGTTACCGGTCACGAAAAAAGACAAAAAGAAAAAAAAAAAAAAAACTTAGAATAGCTGATATTGCTTAAGATTGCCAGCTTATATGTTTTGAGGACCCATTCTTATGGTTGTGATTTTTTACTATGCAGCCACATTTATGCCTTTATAATTATTCCTACTTCAAATAAAGGTAATGAGTATCTTTCTGTATTTTGTAATATTCAGATGCTGTGAAGTAAGAAATCTGTCTTTGATATTAGTTTTCTCAGTAGAGAATGAACAGCTTTCCCCATACAACAGAGAAAAAGACTATATGTTGGAGGTGGGGAAGGTGGGGTAGTAGTAATTGAGATTGTGGTCCTTTGCTGCTCTTAAAAGATAAATCCAGGTAAGCAACTCTGTCTTCCATGGGTACCACGTTGAGGAAAGGGTGAGTGACAGTCAAGCACTTGCACTATGGAGTCAAGCTAGCTTGTTGGAACCCTGGCTTCACTGCTTCCAAGCTGTGCAACTCCAATCAAGTTACTTAGTCTGTCCAGGCCAATATCTTTACCTGTGAAATTGGAGTAGTTCCTACCACAAAGGGTGATTAGGAAAATTAAATGAATTAATTCATGAAAAATGTTTAGAACAGTGCCTGCTTTGTGTAAGTCCATAATAATAACTGAGTAAATACAGCTGTTATTATTCAAAATCATCCTCTTGTTCGTGAAAGTGCTTCTGTATTTATCAAAGTGCACTAACCTTTTTTTTTTTTTTTACTACTCCTGTATCTAAGACCCAGTGGACACCACAATTTGGAAGTAGCCTTAAAAATTGCACATATACAGTTGTGCGGTCATGGGGAGGTAACAATATAGACACCACAATATATGGGCCATGCACCCGTGTTAAAGCGCTTGGTTGCGTACACAGTGTCGCCTCCTATTCGTCACTGTAGGACTATATCATTTGGTGTGTTGGTTCCTGGATAAGCCAGTTAATCCTACAGGTAAAGATCCACAGTCAATGTGCTATTACTTGAAACTTTCTGGGTTTGCAAGGTTAAGCAAAGCTTGGAGTCTTCTAATACTGATTCTCATGATCCAGGAATTTTGTTAGCTATCTAGACTATGAAGAATATCTATGAAGACATCTATGTAGGAGATAAAATTAGCACAACTGTGAACCAGGAAAGTGTAGTACAACCTTGTTTATCTATCTTTTGTGAATGCAGACTTCTTTTATCAAATGCAAATCTTTCACTCTCTGATCCTTATTAGTCCAGTTTTAATGCAGATTGCCTTCTACTCCCACCCCTCCCCCAATGCCTCCCGCACCCCAACTCTGCAGAGTTAGTGGAGAGAACGTACTGGGTCTGTAAATGCATGAGGGTCTCACATATCTGCTCAGGTATCCATGTATATGTGTGTGTATCTGTCAGCACCACGCTCAGCCAGTGAGCAAACCGGCCATCCCTATATAGGATCCGAACCCGTGGCTTTGATGTTATCAGCACCGCACTCTACCGAGTGAGCCACGGGCCAGCCTGTGTGTATCTGGATTAATCCCAAATCCAAGCTTTTTATCTTGAAGTGATTAGTGGCCAAGGGAAGTCAGGAACAAGAACAGTCAAAGTTTAAGACATTTTCATTTGCTCTTTCCTTTAGCAGTTTGTTAGGTGAGTAAGCTAAGCCCATTCATATTTGGAGATTTCTGCAAGATTTATGAGGCATTTTGCCATTTGGAATTTTCATTTCTGAAATTACTTCTTGCCCTCTGCCCTTTGCTTTTTTGGACTAAGTATTATATTTTTTGAAACTGTAATAAAATAGCCATTTTTGACACACCTCTGACAAAAGTGTGTTGTGATCTCTTGTTACCATTGTGTGTATGGGGGGTTGGGAGTTACATATATGAATGAAACGTATTATGTTGCAACTTAAGTGACGGTGTTGGTTGGCATTTAGGAATACGAATCTATTATCTGTTAGCACTTCAGAAAGTAGGGAAAATTGTTTCTTTGCCATTTTTGTGCCATGAGATTAGCTTCCCTGGAAGTGCAGCTTACACTCAGGAAAACACTTTTAAGGTCATCAGAAATGGAGCTGGGTGCCCAAGTTACCAGCAAACCATCTGTGTCATCAGGAGGAATCAGAACCAAATGTTTGGAGCTTTAGCCAGGGAGCATTTTGATCTCAGGAGCCCACTGACTTCCAGCAGCTTGAAGCTGGTGCCACTCAGTCCCACATTGAGGTGGGTCTGTGAGACACGGAGTGTGCCTTTGCAGGGAGGGCAGGTGCCCTTGTGTGGAGCTGAGGTTTAAGGACACTGTAATGTCCCCCTCTCAAGCCTTCCCATGTAGGGTCTCCCTTCTGTAAGATATCTTTGCAAATTAGTAAAAAGCCTGCTCTTGCAATATTTTCATGAGGAGTGATACTGTTTGATTCTCCGTTCCTTCTCACCTGTCTCCTTTTTCTGTTTTTAAACAGGCTAACCGGCCTCCTGCAAAGCTCAACCTGTTAACCTGCCAAGTGAAGACGAACCCCGAGGAAAAAAAGTGTTTTGACCTTATTTCACGTAAGGTTCTCTCTGAGATGCTGCGCCCTACAGAAATCATTTTAAACTCTCTTCTAAGGCATCAGTCCCATTTGAAACGCTGCATTTTAAGAATTGGTTTTTGAAGAGAAATGCCCTTTTTCAAGTGACATACCTACTTTGTCTATTAGTAATTGGAGGCTTGCCAGTGTCTCCAGTGGAGGATTTGACTTGGAGGACTGGCCCTGCTCCTCGTGGGCTCTGTTCACCCAGAGACATCCTCTCAGCTCTCTGAGCCTCAGCTTTCCTGTCTGTAAACAAGGAGATTATACTAGATAAGCCCTCAAGCCTAAAACCTTTTTCGTTTTTGTTTGTTTGTTTGTTTGTTTGTTTGTTTTTTAAGGATAATTCTGCATAATTTGGGTGGTTAGAAATACCATAAAACTAAAATGATAGGGAACTTTAGTTTTTGAATTGTTTCATCTTCCCCGCCACAGAATTAGTGTCCCTGCTTCTGTGTGCTCTTCTCTCTTGTGGTGTACACAGAAGAATCAGCACGGAACCATCTGTTGTGGCGAATGTTTTCTCAGCCCCCCCTAAAAAAAAGAAAAGGACTCATGATGCCTTAAAGAAAATAAGATAAACTTTCTGTCCTTGGTAGTCTGCTGTGGCAGGGTTATAGTTAGGGGGAGGGAAGGGTCAGTCTCCCATTTGAAGAGACAGTCACTAGGGATTTGGGCACAAGAGTTATATTAACAGAGGAAGATGCTAGACTGTGCCTTAGAGGAAGATGGTGCTGTCCTGTTTGCCTCAGTGCCCCCGAGCATGAGGTGACTCCTGCTTCATATGTCTGTTGACTTGTGTTACTGAGGGCTAGGAAGTCACTCATGATGTGACTGAGCGCTCACAGCAAACTTGTGTGGTGATTATTACTCGCCATGGTTTGCCCTCATCTCCCCCCGCTTCCCCTTCTGCATGCACCGTGCTGAGAGCTCTAGGGAGGGCTGAGCAGTGTGATGTGTGGAAAGTGCTTGGGTGTTGTTTGTTCTGTTCAGTTTCTAGGCTGTTTGTAAACTAAAAATTGACTTTATCCTGCTCCAAGCCCCCATCCCTACTCATTCTAGTAAGGTCCACAAATTCAGTTATCCCTTCTTATCAAAGCTTGTTCTTTGGGCCCTTCATTTATATAAGATGATGTAAAATGCTGAGAATTCACCATAGTTTTAAATGTGATCACTCATCTTGTGTCTAGGTAGCAAAAAAAGCTAGAGTTAAAGGGAGACAACTTGATGGTATAATCTGATGTGTGCCAGTGGCTGGGGAAGACTTGGAGGGTTTTAGGCCTTTCCATTCTCTGAAATAGTAACCCAGAGTTAAAGGGAGACAACTTGATGGTATAATCTGATGTCTGCCAGTGGCTGGGGAAGACTTGGAGGGTTTTAGGCCTTTCCATTCTCTGAAATAGTAACCCACAATAAGCCATATGTTACCCTGATAGTAGAAGTGCCTTCAGTAATTGATTAGCACCTAATAGGTAAGTGAGCTTGGCTGAGCCTTGCCCACCACACGGAGATAGGTGCAAGGACTTCCCTCAGCTGCCACCAACCACCCCTAGCGCAACTTGTGGGGAGGCCCCAGCTTGAAACCATATGTGCAGAAGCATTTGCTGCAGAGTATCCGCAGCCTACACATTTTAAACAACATGCCAGGCACCAGGGAGGATCAGGAGACAGTGTAGATAACTCCTTACCAGATGGGAATTACTGCATGCCTCAGACATGTGGGAAGGGGGTCTTAGTAAATCTGGTCACACGTGATCACTGTGGCAAACTGACATTTACCAGGATCCAGTATCTGCTACAGCCTGACACATAATAACTGTCTTCAGGAAGGTCTAAAGCCCCGTGATGCCCACAAAGTTTCACTGAGTCTGGTTGAGGCATTGTGATGAATTTGCTAGAGTCCACTGCCATCTTTAAAAGGCAGTCTCATCTCTCCTTCTTCCATGCTCATGCTCCAGTGGGTATAATAAACCTCATTCTCACAAATTTTTTTATCCTCTGCTAGCTTCCAGGAGGTGCTACTCCCCTAGGAGTATCTGTAGTGAAAGTGCTTTGTGCAGTGCCATGTAGGTTTGCGTTGTTGTAGAGATACCTGAAAACCATCCAGACACCCCACAGAATCATCAAGGGAGACTATGCAGCAGTGAAAGCCCTAATTTGATGAGCACTCTGATAAGATGGGGGCTTGGTGTCAGGACCCGATTCTGCCTGACTCAGGAGAGGCTGTCTTTACTTCTCTTGGATGCTTCCTCTACCTCCTGACCAGGCTTTGATTTCTTAAAACATTTGGGTGGTTGGGGAAATGGAAGTCGAGCCACAGATAGGCAGTGAGAATGATATTTCAGGCATGTGTTTCCCAGGCACCCCAAGAGTCGCCCTTTCTCCTAATCGTCGCCTGGTCAAGCCATCTTGAATTCTGCCCAGAGAACCAGAAGAGCAACAGACTGACCAGCTGACTTCGGTTATTTCATGCAAGATCCTCCTTTGCCATTCTCCCAAACAGGGATTTCCCATTCTGACGAAGATGTGAGTGGGCCAGGCTTCTCAGGAGGACGTTCTGTAGCAAGGCCAGCCCTTCTGGGAGCTTGTCCAAGCTCTTGCTCTCAGGCTGACCCCACCCTTTGCAAATTCAAGTCCTGAGCCACTGTCCTCAAATCCCACAGACACTCTGAGAGGGACAAAAAGGAACAGGAGAATCATGAGATGACCCAGGTCAGTGTCCTGAGTAGGATGAAGCCCAGAGGAAATCGTTGACCTTCCAGGTCTACGTGGCAGGTTGGTGACCAGCTGGAGCCACAGCCTCGGCCCAAGCAGCCCTCTCCAGGCCACCAGCACATCAGAGCTCTGGTCATCCCCACCATCTCCTCTTACCTTTCTTCCCCCTCATAGCTGAAGCTGCTAGAAATTGTTCTTTTGTTTATAGGCATCTCAAGAGAGAGTCTGTAGTGGAGGGAATTCTTATTTGGAAGTTTTTGCAGAGGTTTGTCTCCTCCTTGTCCAATTTTCACATGTTAGAATACAGAATTAGCCAAAGGAAATGGGCTGCTCCCCTGTCCCCTTGATTTCCTACCTGACTGTGCCTGGTCTGGCCGTGGGGTAGTTCAGTGTGAGACACAGGGTGCTGGTGTTACCTGCCAGTGTCCCAGCTTCCTGGGAACTTTGCGATCCACTTAGCAAACCATCTAGGGTCCCCAAGTGGGGCTTGCGTTGTGGATCTGCCCCTCCCGGCCTCTCCTCCAGGGGAGGCTGTACACATCAGCTCCACTCAGGAACAGGAGAAAGTGGCATGGTTCTTGTCTTTCTCTTGATGCTTCAGCCTGGCTCAGCCACTAACATTTGGATCTCAAAGTCATGTTCATTTTTTTTTTTTTAACTTACAACAGTTCTTTTAAATTCTGTTCTTCTCCTCAGTAATAGGTGGGATAGAGAGTGTCGTTCCACTCCCCCTGGTGTTTTTTTTTAAAAAAAAAAGGCATGGTATGGTAGAAAGAGGGTTGGGCCAGGAGCTAGGAAACCTGAATCTTCTGCTGGTGGCCATGCTTGTTTTTGCCACCTGACCTCAAAAAAAAAAAAAATGACATGGTATGGTAGAAAGAGGGTTGGGCCAGGAGCTAGGAAACCTGAATCTTCTGCTGGTGGCTTTAAAAAAAAAAGGCATGGTATGGTAGAAAGAGGGTTGGGCCAGGAGCTAGGAAACCTGAATCTTCTGCTGGTGGCCATGCTTGTTTTTGCCACCTGACCTCTCTGGGTGCAGCCTCCATCCAGTCTGCTCACCAAGAGTTGTTCTAAGAACCAAAGTGCTTTGGGAACATAAAAGCTGCTGCTGGAAGATGATGTGTCGGCTCATTTTTAGCGGCACAGATGTTTATTGTGTTTCTCCAAAAACAGAGTCACTCACTGCTTGTCACCCTCCACCATCTGCAGAAGTTGGATCTCCTCTTTTTTTCTTTTTTAAATTTTATTTTCTTTTTTACTTTGTTTTTGGGCCATTGGTAGAGTGTGTCTATATATCCCTCACCCAACTCCTCATGTTAATAATGTCTTAGTACAATTATCTAATAGTGTGTAGTACATATTGTCAGTCACATGCACAGTTATCAAAACCAGAAGGTTAACATTGGTGTGATGCTATTAATTCCAAATCTTATTTTTTAGGTTTTATCAGTTTTTTCACTAATGCCCTTTTTCTGCTCACAGATTTTATCCAGGATCCCACATTGTGTTATTTTATCTTAGTCTCCTACAGTCTATTATAACAGTTCTGTAGTATCCCTTGTCTTTTGTGACCTTGATACTTTTGGAAGACTATTTTTCATTTTTTATCAAATGTTCCTCAGTTTGGATTTGTCTGATGTTTTCCCATGACTGGGCTGAGGTTATGCATTTTTGGCAAG